ATTAATTAACTCATATCTCCGTCAAAAAGGCGCATGGGCCCAAACCAACTTGGAGTTTTTCACTGCTGACTATTCCCTACATGATGAAAATAGTCTGAGTCGAAAAGCTTTTAATCACCTCGAGAGGTTCCCTCGTGAGCTAAGAAAATGGGCAACGAATTAATTTAGCAACATCGAACACTCTAGATCCAAGTTCACCAAAATCGGGAATAATTAGATTAAATTTCTTTGAATGGCTAATGAACAGAGTCAATGGCGGGGAATACTAAGTTAATCTCTTACTTCAGTTTGTTCATAAAATTCTAATTTCATGTCGAGAGTTACTAAAACTCTCTAATAAAATTCTTAATTTGATTTCGTAACTTCAGTTGCGGTAACTACAAGCTTAATAGGTATTCCCTTCTTTTGCTTCTTGTCGCCAAGTGCACGTCGTTAACAAGTACAGCATCGACACCGTCAGAGTCATCAAAAGACAAACTATTTGATCCACAGAAAGCAAGGAAACAGCTGAAATTGTCGTCAACCATCACAAAGTACATTGAACAACAGTTCACAGAAGTGTAACGTATCTCGGATTTGAAAGAATCGATATTAGATAAATGTCGATATTAGATGATTGTTCGTCCACTGACAAATCTCTGGTCTAAAATTTTGAAAGCTAAAAAACTTACGTTTTTTAAAGGCATTAAAACTAGAAAAAATAGAACCACTATTGCAACAAACGGTTCTCTTATTGGGCCAAAGCAATGCTCATACTTTATACATAAGAAGGTTAGCAGTCATGAAAAAATTTATGAAAGACACAAAACAGGCTCGGCATGTTATTTCAAAATCAAAAACAGAAAATTCATTGTTCGGCGACGAATTTATCAAAAAGATAGCAAGAGGGAAGAAACGCTCAGAAGAACTGAAGAGGACGTTGCAACCGCATTTACCCAGACCGGGTTATAATCGTTATCCGTGAGGAGAAAATTCATTTCGACCACGGTCAAATTTTCCACGGAGTTCCGATTCACGTCCTTGAAATAATAATAACAATCGTTCATTCAGTGGTTTCAATAAACGTGGTGGATCTCAGCCAACTTATCCACTGAAACAGCCACATGCTGGTGGTAATGAAAGGTACGAGGATATTAATACTTTAAAGTTAAAAACACTGCCAGATTTAGAACAGAAAAACGCAGAACAGTACAGTTTCATAGCAGATATCAAGGATAATATACATTCAACAGTCGAACATTTCTCATTTGAAAATATCGTACGTGATACGAAAGAGATAGGAGATAGACTACGGTTTTTCCTAAATAATTGGAAACAAGTTACGAATGATGATTGGATTTTGAGTATAGTAGCGGAATACAGTATTCCATTCTGTGAACAGCCTACACCACGCCATACGTGTATCCAATCTGACTTTTTGTCAGAGGAAAATAGCTTTTTAGAAAAAGAAAGTGCAAGTTTACTCGAGAAAAAAAGCTGTCGCTCTAACAGTACATACTTCTGTCGAATTTGTTAGCCATCTTTTTACGCGACCCAAAACAGATGGTGGGTCAGACCGGTTTTTAACCTTAAAAAGTTAAATGAAAAAGTAGAGTATGAACGTTTTAAAATGGAAACGATAATGGATGTGAAATATTTATTAGAAAAATATGATTTTATGTATAAAATTGATCTCAAAGATGCCTACTTAACGATAGCTATGCACAGCGATGACACAAAGCTTTTAAAATTCGATTTTAACGGCCTTTTATATAAATTTTTATGTTTACCATTCGGACTCGCACCCGCCCCACGGATCTCCACTAAACTGCTAAAACCTTTCGCAGCATTAGCTCGAAAGTTAGGGCATTCGTCTCGTCATATATTTGGACGATTTTATCATCTTCAATAAAAGAAAAGAGGGATTAATTCGGGATCGTAATACCGTTATTTTTATTTTACACCATCTCGGCTTTGTGATTAATTTTAAGAAATCCGTTCTAGAACCAACGAAAGTTATCAATTATTTAGGCTTTGATATAGATTCTAGCTAGATGAGTTTGTTTCTACCGCAAAAAAACTTGATAACGTGATTAAATCATGTGAACAGCTGATAAAATCAGAACGTATTACGACTAGAGAATCACCGAAAATTATCGGATTACTGTCAAGTACGGCACAAGGCACACTGTAAAAAATAAAGTGTGCCCGAAACACACTTAACTTGCACATCACTTTGATTCGCATTTGCACATCTAGAATGCACGATGTGATGTGCCAGAAACACACTGGCAAAATTTACACACCTGCGAATATAGAGAGACTTTTACACACCTAGAAAAAAACACATCAGTTTGATTCGCATTTGCACACTTAGAACTTTTACACATCTACGGGCACACTTTATTTTTTACAGTACATCGCGCCTGCTCCAATTAATTATAGACAGTTACAATTTTATTCATCCAAAATGCTTTTGAAAAATAATTATGAAGCCGAAATAACTCTGACTTCGGAATGCAAGACGGAGTTAACTTGGTGGGTAGAAAATATTAGATCATAGAACGGACGCACGTTAATATCACCATCACCAGATTTATATTTTGACTTAAAAATTTATTCTGACGCTCAAAAATGGGGTGTATTTCACCCTGATAAAACATACATAGGAGGAGGCTGGTCTAATACAGAAGAAAATTTACGTATCAATCCTAAAGAAATTTTAGCAGCATTATTCGCTGTTAAGTCATTCGCTACAGGACTTGTTGATAAACATATTCATATTTTCAGTGACAATACCAGCGCAGTTTAATACATTAATAATCTAGAAGGCACTCGATCTCAAGCCCTTATGAAAACAGCAAAAAACTTTTGACAGCTTTGATGTTGACCTGTTCGCAAACAAGCTTAAGGGCCTCCCTCCCTCAGAATTGGTGATTTTCGGTCAAAAAATCGGTTTTGAGATACGCACATGGAAGAATATCCTGAACTGTCTATTTCCAGAATCTGTATTGTTTTTGGTTACAAAACTGGTTTTCCGGGGATTTTGAGCAAGTTTTCTAAGGGTCTCGAAAAACCGGGTCTTCAAATAATGTTTTTTTATGCAACTAAATTTTTCTGAAAACACAGATTTGTAGAGCACACGTTTTTGATCAAAATAAGACCTCGCACAACTCTGTATGATCTTGCATCAAAAAATTACAGGCATTTTCCCAGAAGTCCTAAAATCGAGTATTTCATACAGCGTTTAATACGTCGTTTTCTCAATATAAGAGTTATACCTGAAGTGCGTCCCAAGACTTTTAAAAGCGGTTTGTCGTAGAGGGTTCATTCTTTTTTTGTTTAAAAGAGGAAAAGAAACTACATCGACTGACCGGCGTCGATTTTTGAATTAGGTCTTAGTTTTTTGTCAAACTGAGAATTTTTAGAAAATCCGGAAGGATTTTTCAAGTTTTGGAGGTTGTTGGTTGCCTCGAAAACCAATAAAGACTTAATTGAAAAATCTGCGCCGGTCAGTCGATGTAGTTAGGTGTCTAGTTTAAAATAAAACAAACCCGAACTCTCTAGCTTGAAGTATATTAAAAAATCTTGGGACGCCGTTCGGGGTCCTTTTTGGACCTTGATCTCTGGAAAACTCCTAAACTGTAAGACTTGGAGACAAAAAAAATTTTTCATTCCCGTAACTCATTGTGCCGAACATTTATGAAAAGTTTCGTCAAGATCGGATGTACAGTGTCGGAGATAATTTCTGAGTGGGGGGGGCCCTTAATTCACAAACCGTACAATATTTTAGCTGGAAGCCTGATCCTGAAGCGATCGGGGCAGGTTCCTTACAGTTTGACTGGAATCATTTCGAAAATGCTTATGCATTTCCGCCGTTTTGTTTGATTTCACGTCTTTTAGCGAAATTACGCAGAGAAAAATCGACAGTAGTACTCATTGCTCCAGTCTGGCCCAACCAGACGTTTTTCCTCAATTGCCTGCACAACTGATCGAAGTATCAGTACTCCTGCCAACTTTTCCACACCTAATTGTGAACCCGGTGGGACAACAAAACCCAATGATAAAGCAAAACAGGTTACAAATGGCAGCTTGGAAAGTATCAGGGAATACCAATCTGATAGAAGTATGTCGACAAAAGCAAAAGAAATCATTTGCAATGCTCAAAAGCCAGAAACCAGATCTGCATACAGTTGCTGTTGGGTTAAATGGACTGACTGGATTCGGTCAAGAAACAGCGATCCAGTTTCAGCATCTCTGGCCAATATTTTAAACTTTTTAGCAGACTTATTTGAAAACACTTTACAATATAGAACAATAAATCTTTATCGTTCAGCATTGTCTCTGAATATGACAAAAATAGAGGGTGTTCCTGTAGGACAGCATCCGATGATAAAAAGTTTTATGCGCGGTATATTCAGTATGCGTTCACCGCAACCGCGATATTCTTCTACCTGGGATGTATCAGTAGTCCTGAATTATATAGAATCTATGCAAGAAGACGAAGCAATTTCAATCCTTCATTTGAGTTATAAATTATCAACACTGATGATTTTGATGACAGCAGCGAGATCTTTGGAGTTGCAGAAACTAAAAATTTCGCGAATGATTGAAGATAAAACGAAGTTTATCATTGATGAACGTACGAAAACTCAACGAGAACATCATAAACCAGTCAGAATGATTTTTTATAAAAATCAAATATCACTCAAACTAGAAGTAGTTTCTTCACTGCAATGTTATCTAAAAAGAATTAAAGAAAACAGAAAAGAAGAAGATCACCTTTTTATTACTACAACTGCACCTTTTCGAGCAACACGACCGACCACAATCGCAAATTGGGTCAAACATATGATGACATTGGCAGGAATAGATACAAAACTCTTTAGGACACATTCTTGTCGAGCAGCTGCAACATTAAAAGCGAAAGTTCATGGCCTAAGTATAGAACAAACCATAAGCGTAGCCCGATGGTCTAATGTTAAAACATTTAAGCGATTTTATGAACGAGAACTTAGATCAGAAAACTCTTTTCAAGAAACATTGGCAACTAAGTGAATGTATGCTTTAAACATACCTATTAAGCTTGTAGTTACCGCAACTGAAGTTACGAAATCAAGTTGATAATTTTATTAGCCTTAGCGACATGAAATGGAGTTTTTCTGAGTAAGTTCAGTAAGATAACTACAAGTCACCCACCCATACCCGCCCATTACTAATCACATTCTCTTCGTTTATTTTACTGTTTCAGACATCGTTGAAAATCAGATAATCCAGCAACAGCTACAAAATGGTGGGTGAACAAAGATATGTCGCTAAGGCTAATAAAATTATCAATTCTTTGTTTTCATTTTTCTCTCTCCACGAATAACTTCATTCGAGAAGCAAAAGAAAATGTCATCTTTTGTTTTTATGATCGAGGTCTATCGTCGCTCATGAAAAGTATAAATAGTTTGTACATACA